GGAAAATTAGATAATTCTAAGGGGGCTGATTGCAATTTGATAAAGTTTGGATATATTTAAATACGATACATGTCCTAAATATGTGATTTATAGAACATTTAATAAATTATGATAATGGTAAATATATTTACAATGTATTATTTATGTTCACATTAAATGTATATATTCAATGTGATTGGACAAGAAAATGCACATTAATTACAGACCCATTGCACATCAATGACTGTTGGATTGCACCATATAGCAACCGAAAAAAACTAACTAAATTATTTCGTTCAAAGTTGTTTAATAAAGTTCAAATATGCATATACATTAAAATTTTGGCTAATTTTGATTTCGACTTTAAAAATATTTTTATATGCAGTCGAAAACAACGATTAAAAAATATTAATTTATGAATATATTTATATAATAAATCACAGACAATATACGGGATTTAGGGTAAATTGGGTAACTAGTTTGATAAACCGATTAATTTAATATAATTTTAAGCAGTGCACTTTATATATTAATACGTTGCACTTTATAAAATGACACTTTGCACTTTATAAAACGCCATGATGCACTTTATTAAATATATAGTGTTATATATTATTTTTTTGTCAAATACTATCTTTTATATATGTTTCTTTAAGTATATTGTTATATTAAGTCGAAAACAACAATAAAAAGTTATTAACATACGAAATATTTTTTATAATAAATCACAATCCATATTAGGGATTTAGGGTAAATCGGATAACTAATTGGTTAAATCGATTAGTTCAATTATAGGTAGCGTACTTTATATAGCAATACGTTGCACTTTATAAGCCAACATTTTGCACTTTATAAAATAACAAGTTGCACTTTTTCACAACATTCCACCATTAACGTCGATAACTCTGGTCAAAACTCCGCACAATATAAAGTGCAATTTATACATCAACACGTTGCACTTTATAAAATAATACATTGCACTTTATAAAATAAAAATTGCACTTTATCACGAATATAAGAACACATTAATAGAGAATGAAACCAACTGAACCCATTTTTATTTTCCTTCAACCAAAAATAATATTAAAATAATAAATAAAATCATTAACATATTAAGAATAATTTTAATATATTTAACAAATTATTTAGATAACTTAAAATAATTTTGTTAACCAAACCGAATAAAGCCATCAATTATGTTCATTGTCAATTTGTTTGGGATAAAAGTTCAGTTGGTTTAATTTGCACATTAGTATTGACACCGTGCACCAAATTGTTGGATGAATTGCACCTTGATAACTGTTATATTGCACTGTATATTTATATTTACATATATACTAATATTTTCAAAAAAACAATATAAGATAATAATAAAAAAATATTAAATGCTAATCATTTTTTATAATAAATATTATATTTATGTCGGTTATTTTGGTTATTTGTGTTAACCAACAAATTGAACCAATTATGTCAATTAGAAATTTGATTTTGATTAATTGTTTTCACCTTAAAGCGCATATTTATACAAAATATTGTGCAATTCTCTTATCGAAAAAAAAGTATATTTTTTTAATAATTTCGGATACATATGACATTATTTTTTAAATCACACACCTACACACAATATTGTACATCTAAGGTGTCATTATTGTGTATAAATTAATTTTCACTAAATTATAAATTACCCTTCAAGTAATAAAATATACATATAATAAAATTTTAAAAATTGTAAAATAGACCCTAAAGATGATCTAATTGTCATTTGAAAAGCCCCAAATCAATAGCACACACCACACAAAACTATTCATCGTCTCCGGCTAAATCAATTAGCACGCACCACACCAAACTATTCATCTTCTCCGACCAAACTCACGGCGTCTAAATTCTCAGAGTTATCGGCTACCGCAACCTCTCTTGGTGCTCCAACCGGTGGTCATCGGCGCCAGCCTGTCGGTTCTGCCGGCGGCCGCCTGCCTGAAGACGTATGGTATTTCAACGCCGTCATCGAGCAGCTAGGACGGCGTTCGGCTGCTGTGTGGCTATGGTGGAGAACGACGGCGGAATGTAGCGGGTGGAGATGGTGAGACGGCGGCGGGCCTGTCGCAGAGATTGGTCTGGGAGGTGCAGCGGTCAGCTGGGGAGCCGCGGCAGCCGATCTGGATATACGCGACGGTTGGTTGCGGAGTCGCTGCGGCCAAGCTGAGGATACGCGGCGGCAGATGGCAAAGTCGCACGGCCAGGTTGGTGTGCGTGGCGGTCGGACTGTACGGGTGCGACGGCCGTCGGACGGGGTCGGTCTGCTGGTTGGTGACGGTGGTTGGGGATGGTGGCGACGAGTTCTGACGACTGGCTTTCGACGGCGGGCGGAAGACGGCGACTGCAGTGGTAGTGCCGATTTTGTGCGAGAGAAAAATGTGTGCATTTTTTGTGTGTGTGTTTTTTGGTCAGACTGTGAGAGAAAAAGAATTAATTATGTGGGCCCCACTTAATTGGATGAGGGTGTGTAAAATTACACATTTACCCTTAGATGTTTTAATTTGACTAATAGATGTTAAGTTTATTACCATATTGACATTAATGATTGACTAGTTTTGACTTCATAAGGATCATTGATATATTGGATCTAATGGTGTATAATCATTCTTATTTCTTTCATTATATATCATTCTCATATGATCCTTTCTCATATATATATATATATATAAATAAATATTGTAAATAAAACTATATATTGTAATAAAACTATGAGTATGTTACTAGATTGGAAAATAATAAAATTGTATAATTTTCGGAGCGGGAAAATTCTATTGTAGGACTTGTCTTTTTGTTATTGTGTCACAATAAAGCTTGGATTTTCAACCTTTTTATTTGAGGGTTCCAATTTTAAGTTATTCTCAATATAAGGCCTAATTTTACAGTCTACTTTTCAATTTCAGACTCCAAATCATTTTTTATTTTGATATAATTATGTAAACCACAATCTTTTTTTTCTAAAACAAATCTATTTTTAGTACTTGTAATGAAAAATATTAAATATATTTACTTACATTACCTAATAAGATAATTATTTTATAATTTACATTTATTAAAAAGTTTAATGAATTTTATTTTAAAAGTTAAAAAATAATATGTAACTTAAATTTAATTTAAATACGTGATAACATTAAAATATAAACTAACTAATTTTATTTTATTAAATAAACTTATAGAAAATATTCTTTGTGAATAAAATTTATACTTTTGAAAGGGTTAGGAATATATAAAATTAATTCATTAATAAAAGTATTAAATATATTTGTATAAATAGCTTCGTAAGAAAAATAATTCAAATAAGCTACATTTATGCAAAATTAGTTTAGCTTAAATGAATTAACTTTTCTCTAAAGTAATGTTATTAAGAAAATTTATAATTATTTAAAATATAAATTTGATCAGAATAATAGTATTTTGGTTTACATATTTATGAAAATATAAAAAGTGATTTGAAGTCTTAAATTGAAAAGTAAAATGTAAAAGTAGGCCCTATATTTAGAATAACTTTAATTTAAAACCCTCAAATGAAAAAGTTGAAAATTCACGCCTTACTATAACACAATAACAAAAAGTTAAGCCCTACAATATAATTTCACTTTTTATAAACAGTAGAAGTTGTACCATATGCGCAGTTAAGTCGGACGGATTGGGAGAACCATGCACCAACTAGTCAATATAAATGGCTCTCGCGCATTTTTTAAACTGTGGGAAAAACACACGAATTAATACGATAAAGAGAGGTGATCGCAACGAACTCAGTGAAAAAGTAACTAAAATAACATGATTCTTCACAATTTATGAAAAATGGCTCAGGGGTATAGTGAAATATGTGTAAAAACACAAAACATAAGTGAAAGAGACAATTCAAAATTTGTTTTCGGGGAGCGATTCACTACCCCTCAAAACTCTTTAATTAGAAAATTTGTTGCCTCCTGCATTATATAGTTTGGAATTACAAGTAAAGGGCTTCATCCATAACCTACCACAACTATACACAATTATATTTTTCTAACTAGTTTCTTACCAACAAAATTATGCAAGAGCATGACTTTTTTAAAATAGACGATCTTCTAAATGTAAGAGTTCTTGTGGTGAATCTTTTCAAATCCTCATTAAATCTTCACCAAAACTTCAAGCATCTTTCATGTATGAGCATGTCATCCTTTTATAATTTTAGTCACATATTACTTGTCCTCAACGTGAGTAAAAAAATAATTATGAAATAAAATCCAAATTCAAACAACATTAATGAACATAATAAAGATATCTATTATGTCAACCTTCTCCTAAAAGGGTTAGAACTACACAATACATACTATAATAAATGTACACCATATATTATATATTATAAATATTAGAAACTTAATTAATTTACAAGTAAATAAATCGAAAACAACCATTTAATTTATTTTCCTTTCATAGTTAGCAAATCTTTTAAAAAACACTTAAGTTTGTGAACGATGTCAAGTCAGTATTTTAACAACTTTGAATTCAAACTGGTACCACCATTGTGTGTTCATGTCCTTTATAAGGTGGTTGTATCCCACCAAACGAGTGCGGTCTCAGTATTTTATAACCAGAGTTTTGCTAAAAGAATTAACTTTTTTCTTTATCTTGTAATTTGCATCTGTAACATTTCTCTATGTGAAGGAAAAGGCTTGTGATGAATGAGAAGTGTCAATTCATTAGCTGGAAACACCCACCACTGTTGATACTTGCTCGAATATGTTTGCCGAACAATGGCAACGTTTCTTTTTGTGCAGGATTAAGTTCAAAGCTTATACAGAAAGCTCAACATGAGCAAGTGCTTATGGAATAAATGCTGAAATGGATTACACGAAGCCAGTAACTGTTAGAATCTGATTCCCAATCAAGTTTTTCATCCATCATTGCTATATAAAGTAAGTCCATAATCTCCATGTACCCAAGTTTCCAAATTAGTACACTAATATTGCACTTTTTTGCACATCATGTGCTGAGCAAAAAAAATGGCTCAACTTCATAAAATTGAGCTCCAAACTCAAATAAGATCTTCTCCTTCCAAATTATTCGACGTCTACAAGAACAAAATCTACCTCATGCCCAAGATTTGTCCTAACAAGGTAGAAAAAGTCGATGTACTTGAAGGCGACGGAAAAAGCCTAGGTTCGGTCAGGCTCTGGACATATGTTATGGGTAATGTCGTAAAATCTATCTTTACCTTTACATATAATGCCCATTATGTTCTATCCCCAAACTAATGCTGGATAATGGAGATCTTATACTAGGAGTTCCTGTGATTGCAAAGGACAAGATTGTTGCCGTTGATGAAGAGAAAAGGTCAATCACATTTGAGCTAATTGATGGAGAGGTTACAAAGTACTTCAATCATTTCAAGGCCACGTTTGTGGCCACCACCGCAAAAGCTAACATGAACTTGGTGAAATGGATTTTGGAATATGAGAAAGCAAGTGAAGATGTTCCTAATCCAAGTGGCCATCTTGAGTTTCTGGCTAATATGGTCATGGAGATTGATGCTTATCTTTTTAAGGCATAGCAACATGAGAGAAAACTTGTGTTGATTGTCATGCTATAACATGCTATAGTTATATATATATGTGTGTATCATACTCCTTCTAAATATAACATGTAGGCATGTACGGTTTTACAACTATTTTCACCCCGCTCTAAAGACGGAATAAGTTTTACGCTCCGCCAAATAATAAGTAAACTTTTTCATCCCATAAAGTACGAAATAAATTATATGATAAACTATGTGACAGACAAACGAAAATAATTGATCAAATGTGAAACAATTATGCAATAAGTTATGGAAATTACAGACAAAGATAATTCAGAAAGTGTCAAATAGTTTTGCGATCAGCTATGCGCCAAATAGGCGAACGCAATTGATAATATGCAAAACAATTGTGCGATAAATTATATGACACACCGAAGATAATTGATAAAGTGCGAAACAGTTATTCGACAAACTATGTGACAAATAGGCGAACATAATTGATGAAAGTGTGAAACAATTATGCTATAAACTATGCGACAAATAGGCGAACATAATTGATAAAAGTGTGAAACAATTATGCTATAAACTATGCGACAGACAGACAAAGATAATTGATAAAGTGCAAAATAGTTATGCAACAAACAAGCAAACATAATTAATAAAGTGTGAAACAATTATGTGATAAACTATGCGATAGACAGACGAAGATAATTAATGTTGAAAGCTATGCGACAGACCGAAGATAATTGATAATGTGTGAAATAGTTATGCGATAAACTACGCGATTGACAAGAGAACATAATTTATAAACTCTGAGACCTCGCGATTGCCTCCCCTGTTGCGCCCGTGCCCCACGTCCTTCTCCACGACATCTCGAGTGTCGTCGCCCTGCGACCCCGACCTGCGTGCAATCCAACAATGTCGCGAGAGCTTCCGTGACGCGCCCACACCTTGCAACCTATGCCAGCGACCATCGGGCCGTTTAGCCACCACGCGTGTGTGCTTACTACCACCTAAAGAGAAAAATGAGACTCCTTACAAAATGTAAAAAATCGTACGCCGTCCTATAAATACCTTGAAGTGTGGGGTGTTTGCCTAAGGTTTCATTTCCTAAACCCAAACAAATATTTTTTGTTCATAAATTAAAAAATCCAGAAGTATCTATTGTACTACAATTGAGTCGAGGAATGCTATATTATTTGAGAATATTTTTCTCTGAAAGAAAGAGCAGAATCTAGTTCTAATAAAAGAACGTATGAAACTGCTAGCTGTTCTGTACCATAATGCAAGCGTAAGCGTCCTGGTCCAGTTTGGAGTAGATCGGTTCTTGTCCTCGCCGGTAGAACGTCGGAATCCTGCAAATAACTCTCACACTGGGGGTTGTGTCCGGTGAAGAGCCTCTGATTCTTAAGTCAGTATGTGTATGAGTATATTGAAGTTGAGTAATGAATAGAATGTGTTAAGGGAGAAAGGCTCACCCCCTTTATATAGGGGTGAGATACTTGCCCTAATAGCTGCCCGGATAAGGTGAGCTGGCTGCCCAAGC